TTGGGGACGTAACTGGATCGTCTCTAAAAACGGATTTCAGTGGAAACAGCTCATGTTGAAAGTTATGTCTATCTCTAAGGAGTTTTTTTACTCTGAACCAATGCCTAAAATTAGAATACTAAGCTAAAAATACAAGTTTGTTAAGCTTCTCTTTTTCCCAAAGGTAGTGAGAATAAATAGTTTGACAGACTTTCAAAAACTGAGAGGCAAGTTATAGGAAATTTGGCCAAAATTTAATCATGCTTCTGTATTTCAAAGGTCAAAAAGTTCTTTTGGAGTATTTGATTTTTTCTAAATGAAGCAAGCATTTTTGGCTCATACTCTTCCGTAATAATACAAACATGTGGCAGCCTTTCCCACTGAGCTTGTAAATCTTAGCTAATCTGGGACACATTTGGAGTCACAGCTCTCTGCACTGTAAGTAAAACGGATGGTCCCAGCTTGGTCTGAAGGAACTTTCCAGGATGGTTTGTAAGGGACAACACAAGTTTGCCTGCTTTATACAGTGGACTTTCATGGACTCGGGATCTAGCCATGAGCCACTGTTCCTTTCCATATTTCCCTCCTTAAAGAGCAGTTATCATTTCCCACAGGGTAAAAAGATACCTTAATATGGATCTGATAGTTAAAGTATTTTGGACCCTAGGAAATCAGCACTTCGATTCACATCATTTAGAAAAGTAAGGAGAAAGGCAGAAGTAGTCCATAGTCTGGCAACATTTAGAATATTCCTGGGTTACTGAATTCTTAGAGTATCCAAGGGAAATCAAAGCATGTACCCCCCCCCCCGCCCCCGCCAAAGTCAAAACTTGGAACAAGTCCAAAATCGATTAATGAGTGAAAAGGTAAGTATCGCAAGCTAGCCCCGCCGCGGAACAGCAGTTAACAGTGAAGAGAACGAGCGCACATGAATGAATCACATGAATGAATCGCAACGTAACTGTGGCAGGTGAACAGTGAGGACTCCACTTATAGAAGGTTCTATGAACACACGACGTCAACCTTAATCCCTTTCTTGAGGCAACTCTTGTCTTTAGCACACAGGAAGCTACGGAATGGGGCGTCCGTTCTAGGGAACACGCGACACACGACTGAAGGTTCATGTGTTTTCCCCTGGGTCATCGATTTGCTTAAGGAAGGTTAGTTTAGTGAACTACAAACCCAAATTTAGAAATGGAGAGTAACTAAAAATACACGTTGTAACAGTTTGTCTCAGTGACAGCAGTGAATGTCCATAATTTTAAAAACAGAGGAGGAAGAAAGGCATTTCTTCTAGCAGTTCCAGATGGGCCTTGCCGTGCCCTACTTCCCAGCACAGAGCATTTCATTAGGTTGGCAGGGATTTTAAAACATTTGGCCAGTGTTTAGAATGCTTCTTCTTCTTTTTTTTAATGTGTGTGCCATTTAACCAAATTATCTTCAACTTCAGAACATTTTTTACTTAAAAAACGTGCACACGTGGATCTAGGGACTGTTAGGATACTGAACTCTGAAAGGTGATCTCTGAAAGCAGACTTTAAGTTTCGTGTTTCCAGCACTATCCTGGGATTCAACATTCTTTCTGAAAGATCTCTAAAATTAGGTCTTCTATAATTTTTGTTAATTATAATGTCAAACGAATACATTTTTTTTTTAACATTCTTCAAATTATAGACCCCTCGATAAATAAAACAAATGAGATAACCTATGCGGGTATGAGGCTTAGAGAGTTTCCAACTTTCCTATTAAAAAGAAAACATGAAATTCTTTATTCATGAGAAAACACCTAAATGAATTTACAGTTTATTTAGTATTAGGACTTTAAAAAGAGGAGAGAGAATCTTGGGAAAAGTTACCTGGACTCTGAAATAGCTTTTCTGGTGTCTGCTAACAGGAAAGACAATTTGGATGAACAAAAAGCCAAATTATTTACTGCTATTAAATTCAGGGAAAACAAGATTGACGGCCACTGTCCTCACACTGCCCTGAACAGTGCTATTATTTTGCTCCATTTGGCCGATACTGCGGACATCCAACCGTCCTCACCTCCGCAGGCTAGCGGTGTGCTACAGTCCTGGCACGCTCACACAATGGGCTGTGCCCCTCACTGAACCAGAGGCTGATCACGTGTGCGAGGTTGGGAATGGCAACTCATACTCACTCCAGCTCGACACAGCAGTCTTGTTTCTACGCTCTGAGTCGTTTCAAGAATCCTAAGAAGGCCAATGAGGACAGGTTTTGACCTAGGCCTTACAAAGAAACTGGAGAACCCTGGTGAGCAAGAGGGAGGGGACGTGCTCGTGACCAGAATCAGGGCAAGAGGACAGAAGAGTGCTCGCAGCCAGAGGGAGAGGGGGGGGGGGAGGGGGGGCCACTGAAGCCCCCGGGGGGGGGGGGGGGGGCGGGGGGCTCTGGAATCCCACTTCATCATCTCACCCGTACTGGGGAACCAGATTCTCAGGCACAAGAGAAGGTAAAAACATTCATACTTGGGGGTTGCTATCTTTCTCAACGCGTTTCGTTTCACAAGACTTTGAAACAGAAACTGTGATGCGTTCCTAACCAACTCTCTCTAAAGGTCTCCCAATTTACAAAGGAGTAAATGATGTATTAGAAAGAGATATAGCTAGAAAATTGAACAGTAAAGACTTGACCTCTGGGAGTGAAGATGACATTTATAGTTCCAAAAGGTTTATTCTGAAGACAAAAATAGCTTTTGAAGCATGAAAGTAATGAATAATCACAATGAAATTTAAAATTTTAAGTTCTCTGAAGACAAGTTATTCCAAAATCTGCAAACAAACCCTAACAAAGTAAGCTGTTAATTTCTACCTTTAACTAAGATATACAAAATGCCTTTAAAATGGTCTTAATTCTTCAGAATTCCACATTAACCTGTCCCATACTGACATCAGTCTATGTGACCAGAACACAGATCTGTGTAGTTAATCCTATTTGGTAAAAATTAAAAGATAGCTTTTGAGAGGACTACCTTTGTAAACATTTTGAAGTATGGTACCTTCCCACATGCCACAGCATCTAAAGTGTATGATTACAATCTAATTACAGAGCAATGACACGGGTTTCGTGTTGCTTAGCTCATGTGCACTAATTCCTATCAGAAAAGTAAAATGGCACTTTGAACAGCATTTAGGACTCAAATATTGGATCTGTCCCCCTTTCTCCATTATTCCTTCATACATTCTGTTCCTTGAGACAAGAAAGCTCTTCCCAGCTTTCCTGGCAACCCTCTACAAAGCCACATCTTCACTTCAGAGAAGACCCCTCTTTGTGAAACTGTTTCCCGGAAACTACCTGAAGGTTACCCAGAAAACACATCAGCACACACAGGCTTGATCGACACAAACCCCATCACATTCTCTGTTTCGGAGCCACTCCAAATGTAACCCCGCACCAAACCTCGTAACGTTCACTGACACTCCCACACCTGCCAGGTGAACACACTGACAAAAACTTATATAACAAACCAGTATTTCATTCTCCAACACATCCAAAGTTGATTTTTAAAAAACCTCTTTCAGGCTTCTTGTTCTGGCTTAAATAAATCTAAGGAATCAACTCCGCAATTTTAACACCATATAAACTTAACGGACTTTCCATAAGTCTCACCTTTTCTGAAGCTATTAAAAAGAAAATCTAAGAACGCCTGATCATTTTAATAAGGGTTACTATTTACATTTGCACTCAGGTGTGAAAGAAAGACCTTAAGCTACTCATTTATCAGATTTATGGTTTAAGATCTCAGTAGGAAAACAAAGAAACAACCTCGAAACACTTTTGGTATGGAGGACTTTTTGCTTAAACCCAAATCTCATTTAATTTCTGCTCCCATCTTAGTTTCCACCTCACTTATCACAAAGAGAAGCCTTCTTTCAGAAACACTTCAGAGCTAAAGCACTGGACGTATCCTCACTTCTTAAAGACCCTGGCTCTGGCCAGGCCTCCATGATGACGGCGGCCCTCACAGCGAGGATGCGCTCTCTCCACAGAAGACAACTTCCGGGAGTTAGCCCCTCACCTGATATCTTGCTTCGAGAAGGCATTTATGGGCTAAGGAAGCGAGTTTTCCCTCCCAAAGTTAACTGTCTCTACAGGGACTAACTCTGACTTGATCAGCACGGACTCTGACGGGCACAATGACAGCATCCAAAATGAGCGGAGCTCTGCCAACTCCTGCTTCCACACACAGCTCATTGGGACGCACGCCCTTCAGCCCCACAGCACACGAGGGGCACGTGGTAGCATCTGCCCACCCATGAAAAGTGCAATGACCCCCCAGGTCTTCAGTCCTTTACATCCTGTGAACCCTGAGCACAGAGAGTCTGTTTGTTTTCATGACTGAGAGTCTTCCCTTCAATCACGGAAGCGCCTGAGTTAGGACAAATGGCCACAATCTCTCCATCTACATAAGATTCCTTTTCAACCAGTGTTCTCTGGGGTTCATCAGGGAGACAGGCTGATAAAGTCAACAAACCCCAAACGCGACCCAAGCAGGCCCTTCCCTCTTCTGATAATCGTGATATTCTTCCTTTGGGATGCCCTGGAAAGAGTTTTTTCCCCTAAGAATACTACTGTGACTCTCTTAGGAGGTCTTACAGTAGTCCGCCCAAGGAGATAAGCTGTGCCGGTCTGTCCCGGCAGGTGCGTAGCTCCTATCCATCATTACAAACACTACTGTAAGCTACTCAAATGAGAATCACACACAGCTCAGCCTGACAGGATGTACAACGGGGACATAATACACTTCAAATACGGAATAAAACGAGACTTCCATGATCAAACTGAGTGCTAGATGCTCCCTGGAAGGAGCAGGAGGGAAGCAGGCCGTGCAGACCTTCTGGGAACGGCAGTGGTAACATACATATTTGGGAAGAGATGGCTCACAGTCACACCCCCTGGGCTGACGCTCAGTAAGGACAGGACCCTGGAGCGCCAGTTTCTTGCTTTCCTAATTTAGTATCTTTTTTTTTTTAATGCTAAAACATCAGATAAGAGCCTACCTGACATTTTGGAGAATTTGCTGTGCTGGGATTGATATTCCGCATTGCCTAAGAGTAAAAAATAAGATGGATAAAAATTACTTTAAGCCACATGGTTTGGCTATGTAGGCTGACTTACAAATTTCATCCAGACATAGCACCACAGAGAGAACTCCCAAGCCAGCCCGAGAAGCAGACCGAGGAAGACAGGAGCCGATGGGGTCACCACATAACAAACTGAAACCTCAGGGGCACTGAACAGCACAGCACGGAGGACAGGACAGCAGGCTTCAGGCGTCAGGACTCAAACAAAATTGGATATTGGTCAGGAAGGCTCTTTGCTTCTGAGTATTAGAAGGAGCAGGAAAAGTGTCATTCAATGTTCAGTGGTAAGAGCAACTAACAAGGGAAGAAATTCACAGGAAGCCAAAGACTTGAGACTTGCTGAATTTATACTGATTGCCAAAAAACAAAACCAAAAAAATCCTAATAAACAGACTATTAGTATGAAATAGAGCAGGTCTATCACTTGGAAGTGAGAAAGACAACACAGCTGGTGATAAGGAAGAAACAAAGCTGCCTTTAAAGGGGGTTAAGCTGCTTGTCTCGGACCCGTCACCCACAGTAGGAGGGAGGACAAGACTCCAGAAGGAAGAGCTTCACAAACAGCAGCGCTGCCCACCCCAACAGAATGTTACAAACAACGAAACGAACAAAATCCCAGGCTGATCAATGGCATACAGCAAAATGATGAACGTGACATGAACAGGTCTTCACTCTTAGTAAGATTTCCTGGTTTTGACAGTCTTCAACTCATATGTGGAATGGGGACCGGCGTGTGTGTGGGCTGTCCAGTGCTCAGGGGCAGCGTCGGAAACAGGCCCGGAGGCCGCTTTGTTTCCTCTGGCAGCTCCATCGTCATGTTCTCGATGGCGCCACTTCGCTCCGATGATCGAGTTTTTATTTAAATGAGAAATATCTTTCCTTTACAGACATTTGTTAGCCAGAGGCACAGAACACTGAGTTAATGTGCTTCCTTTCTACACCTTCCTGGCAGATAAAGAAATCCGTCTGTGACAACCACTCCTTGGCCTCGAACCCGGAACAAGCACTCCCTGGCGTCCGGGCTCAGAGCCGGGGGGGCCGGAGCCCAGCGCGCTGGCCTTACACGGATGGACAATGGACAGCACAGACAGCTGAGAGGTGGGTCTGTCTGGGACCTCCAGGGCCAAGTCTCCATCCCCAGGGCTCAGTTTCTCCAATCCCACGTTAGAGTCCGGGGACGGCACCACGTCTGTGCACGTCCAGCGACCCTCCTGGGACGTGGCCCACGTCACTAATGGGCCTGAGCCAAGGTCCTGCCTCCGGGGAACAGAAACGTGGAGTGTCATGATGTTTTAATTTCTACCCTTGGGAGGCTACAATTTGGTGGAAAAACAGTAGACACACGTGTTCTGCGTCTGTGGACAGAAACAATGCCGGAGAACAACGAAAGTGAGAAGCTGACCATTCCGGCCGCTCCGAGGGGCGGACTTGGGGCACAGAGCAGCAGGTGTGGTCTTCACACACCTTCACCTTCTGTCCCTTTCAAAATCGCACTGTTTTCTTATCAGAACAACTTCTAGGAAAATGACAACATACACTGCTCTGGAAAGGCTGCATCCCCGCTCCCTGGACTCAGCCTCCCCTCCGGGAGCCCCCGGCTGGCTCTGACACGGGCGGTGGCTGTCCCGGAGCGCAACAGCCCTTCCCAGGAGCAGACCCCGGCCCTGTCCGCCCTCCGAGCACCGCTCAGAGCGGGCGCCAGGAAGGCACTACGGGATCTCCTAACCTTGGGGTCTCTGGGATTCAACAACGCTCGCCTGGGAAGCACCTTGTGCACGGGCCCCTCGGGGCCCCGCCGGGTCCAGAACAGCACTCCCGGGGAGCGGAGGCGGCCTCTCCCCCGGGCCTCACCTGCCGGAGCAGCTCCTGCTGCTTCAGGCGCAGCCGCTCCTTCTCCATCTGCAGCTGCTGCAGCCGCATCTGCTGCGGGCCGGGGCCGCTGCCGCCCAGGACGCCCCCCGGAGGGCTCTGCGGGGCCAGGGGCGGGGGCTGCTTCACCGGGGCGCTCTGGCTGATCCTCTGGTTCATGGCTGCAAGGAAACAAAACATCCGGCCTAAAACACTGGTAGCCAAGGGAAAGGAGTTTTTCAAAAGCAACTGGGAATAGTCAACACAGCTTTTCACCTTTATGGCAGGGACTGGAAATAAGCTGGAAACCCATCCCTAGGACAAGGGATGTGCTAACTGGTCGTTACTGTCGCTGCCCCTGTTGTCTTTAAACAAGACCCAAGACAAGAGCCAGGAGACCCGAGGGAGCGCACGTCACCGACGACACGCAGCGGCTGCAGACGTCGCAGGTTAAGGGCCGAGTGTGGGACGAGAGTACGAAAAAGTGATGGACGGCTCAGAACCAACTAACCTCTGTCGGCTCCGCAGCGGGGAACCTGTGACGAGAGGACGGACTTGCAGAGACATTCTGGGTGACTTTTGAAATGTGAATGATGTGAACATGTTGCTTATTATAAATTATAATATATAGAGATTTAATTAAAAATACAACTCCCAAAGCGAATGGCACAAAGCACTGTGAGCAGTAAAGCCTGCTGTAATGACCCGTCCTTGGGACGCCGCTGGCTCGGTTGGAGAGCGTGCAACTGGAGCCCAGGGTTGTGAGTTCAGCCCCACATCATGTGGAGAGAGGACTTAAAAATAAAATCTTAAAAAATAAATAAAATGATCAAACATTTTTAAATGACTGAAACACACACAGAACCTCTCCTGAAGCAAGCAGGTGACAGTGATGAATGACAGAGCCCAGGCGCACCCGGACAGTGGGCGGAGGTCTGTGGCACAGGACACTGGCCCCCAGTGGTGGGGACGGGCCCTGTGCTGGGCCCCCCATGACCATGTGACAATCAGGAACCGTGGATTTCTCCCACCAGGGAGTTTCTGTCACTGACACCACCCGGACCAAACCATGGCCCATGGTAGCCTCCTAAGCAGACAGAGCGTTATTCCAGGAAAACGGGACATACCACCTTTCAGACACATACCAACTGTTCCAGGTGACATTTTGGGTCCCTGCTTCTACTTAATGTTTAATACACACCGACCAAGAAAACCTCAGGCCCTAACAACTTCACAGACGCTGAAGGAAGAACAGCAGTGTCCCACAACCTCCCAACACAATCCTGAGCCCAGGACGTGAGGAGAGTGCAAAATGACACACCTGTCTGTCCCACCACACTCAGCACCACGCTCCTGTGACTTCCTGGGGTCCCCGGTACAGGCCTGGGACGCAGGAGCACAAGGCTCAGCCTCTCCCAGAGCCCTGCCTTCTTGATACTGCCACGGGCACGGGCCGAGGACCCGAGTTATGTGCATGTCCTCGGAGCCCCGCGCAGTGTCTGGCCTGAAGCTGGAGCTAAAACACTTGAGCTGAGTTCTCACTAAGGCAGAAATGGAATGATCTGGGATATGACAATTCACAAATGCTGCCACCCACGTCACCAAAGACTGGCCAACTCCGCCATGACGCCAGCCCCACGCTGAGACAGAACCGTGGACAATACGACCATGCCTGCGCCTTTGTTCAGTCCAGCCTCCCAGGCCCCTCGCTGATGTGCGCGGAGGGCGCCCACCACTGCGTCCTACCTCCTGCTCCTGCCTTTTCCCTCCAGGCTTTCTGTGTTTCCAACTTCTTGACTTCCAGTTATTTGGTTTAAATCTTTTCTTGAAGCACTGAAAATCAGTACATTTACCTTTAAGTGATGCTCTTCTGTGTCCTCCCTTTTGAAAGTGTAATTCACAACTGTTCTCTTCCAAATACCTGTAGTTTCTGCTTCAATTTCCGCTTAACTCATGAGCTACTTAGTAGACTGTTAAGCTTCCAAACATGTTTCAAAGTTCCAAAATGATTTCAAACATACAGAGAAGAAGGAAAAACAGATAAACCCTCCCATGCTTGTTGTGCAGCTTTCCGATCAATACACAATTAATTCTGCTTCTCCCCTATCCCCACCCACCGCCTCATGGACAACGGTCAGGTCAACAGTGCAGCCTTTCACTCATACGGTTTCCACATGTATCACTCAGGGGTTTTCCTTGGGGTCCCCCATCTTCTAAGTGTTCTCTCTCTTCTGCTGAGAAGTGTGGTTCTACTACGTGAGGATGTGTTATCCCTCCGCACGAATGCCGTTCCTTCAAACAGCACGAGCTGAACGTCCGCTCAACATGACGACGACCAGAAAGTTCCGAGTCGTCAGGGCTGGGTTTGTACTGTCAGTGGCTGCGGTCAAGGCAGCTGAGTAACTGCTCTCCAGGCCACCTCGGCCACCAACTCACCATCGAGGGTGACCGGGGACACTGTGCTCGCCAACGCTGGAGACTCACTCTACCTGCCAACTGCCAGCACCAACCCCCCCAGCAGTCACCAGTGCTCCGGGCGTTCTAAAAGTCCAAGCGAAGACATGCAGACTTCTGGGACCTGTGGTGACTTCTGGGACCTGTGGTGGCACCCACGCTAGACTGCTTTACTCCAGTCCCCTTTTCTCACCCACGGACATTCCCTCGGGACCACTCCAAAGCACAATATCCAGGTTTTCTCTCATTTCCTTTAAAAAGTAGCTAATTAGGGCTCCATTCAACCAATTTCCCGTCAGGTGTTCACTACGTCATTGTCAGCTCATACACACCTCACTTTGTCCTTCCACTACCCGGGGCAGAGTCCTAGCGGGGACAGCTGTTAAGTTAGCTGCTGAAGCAAGCGCTCTCAGCAAGCCCCTCCCTTCCTGCCTCTCACACCACGGGGCACTTCATTGCACCGTCCTAGTAATGTGTAAGGGAATCTTGCTTTCCTCTCAAATCCTTGCTGAACTTTTGGACTTTTGCCAATCTGAAAGATGAGAAATGGCTTGTGTGATTTCACTTTGCTATTTTTTATCACCAAAGTTTGATCAATTACCCGATTTTAAGGGCCATGTGTTTTTTCAACGTCAATTGTTTTCCTATCTTGTCCAATGGGGTTATTAGTCTTTCCGTACTCTACTACAGACTGTCTTCACAGGCTAGGGGTAGACAACTGTGGCAGTACGTAAGCCACAAATAATTGCCCTGTTTTCCATCTGTTTCTTTAGTTTGCCTTTTTTTCCCCCCACAAGTTTCTTTTTTAAGCAAATTTATCAATCTTTTTGAAACTTGAGCTATGTTTTCCCCATGCCCAGATGGCAAAGGAATTCATCAACTTTTTAATTCAAAAACTATATGCTTCCTTTTTATATACTTATTTGGCAATTCAATCCAGACCATTTGGAATTTATCCTGGAATGTGGTGTGAATGAATCAAATTTTATTTTTTTGTGCCCATTAGTCTCAACACCATGCATGTGAAGTACATCCTTCCCCCAGAAACAGCTTTCTCACAGACTAAATGGCTAGATTCTGTGGTCCTGGATTTTCCCTTCTGTTCATTAATGCTATACCACGCACCAGTTTTAATCACAACTTTAATGATAGGTGCTAGTAGTACCCAAGAAGGCAAACCATGGTTTTTTGAAGCTAACTATTTTATTGGGATCTAATTTAACTGCGCTGTGGTTAAAGAACAGATTCTGTGCATCGGTTCCTGAATTTGCGACTCGACACAGGGTCGAATCCTTGCTTTGGCCTTGTTCCTACCACTTGGGAGCTCCTGACATCCTCAGGAGCGGAGGTCCCTAAACCTGGCAGGCCCCTGGTCCTGCCTGCCCTTGCTCACTGTATAGTATGTTGATTTTATTTGCTGACCCACAGAGATTTTTCTTTTTAGGTTATAACCCCAGTTATGTCTTTTTGGTTATCTGCTTTTAGTATTTTGTCTAGAGGAGCAGAAAAGGGACGTCAAAACAGGATTTGCTGTCCCATATTGTTGGAAAGCCTTATTAGTTTCTTAGAAGGCCCCATGAAAATATTTATGATTGGTCTTTATGAAGAATAAATGGCTTTAAATTCCATAATCATGGTTTGTAGTTTATTTTGTAGGGAAATGCATAGGAAAAAAGCCAAAAATTTTAAGAACTAAGATTTGCCAGGCACCAATCAACCTCATTCAATACAACTGCTTACATTTACTTGCCACCGACACGAGATGCATAACTGACACGTATCGTTGTGGTCTTCACCATCAAAGTGACCACAACCAGAGTCAGACACAACCCAGTAACTCGTCCAGTACTCGGCTCCTCCAGCTACTCTGGGCGTGTTCCCACGTCCCTTCGGCAGACGCTGTGGAGATAACAGCCTGGAGAAAAGGGGATGAGCCACAGAGGGCACCTTGCTCCTTCTCCAGACCAATTCTTTCTAAGCTTTAAGATTCCTCCTCCTACAGATAACCATTCTGCCCTCTGCCTTCTCCCACTTTTCCAGGCCACTTGCGTTTCTAGGCGTGCTATGATTCACAGAGATATGCATATTTTTCCAATAAAACCTAAATGGACAAAACGGGTAGTGGAGATTAAGCCTCAAGTAAGCCTCCAAGGCATCCTCCTCCTCTGCAGAAGCCCGTTCCAGGCAGTCCAGCACAAGGCCTGGTGTCTTCCCCACCGACATGTCTCATCCACCGTGAATGTCTCCTTCAACGACATGAGCTGGGGAGCTCATCTGAGACTCCATCACACGCGGTGCACACCCCATAAGCTGCACCCTAGAACAAACAGCCACTGGGGAGAATGTTTCCAGTTCCAAGCAATTACGTAAATCAATTTAAAAAAAAAAACTGCTAGGAAACAGCCCATTAGTGAGTTGAGGAGTGCTGGAATATGCAACTTGATTAACTGCAAAGCAGACTCTAGAGCTGTACAGTGGTCCATTATTTCATCTCTAAGAAACATCCGGAAAGCTTTTGAGCTTTCCACACTGGATCTTTACTCAGTTACAGAACATTTAAAGGTTAATATAAATACGTAGTCTTTGTGAAAACTAACCAGACAACAACGTAACTGCATGGAAATAAAGAGGTAAATATCCTCTGCTTCCCACCCATTTCCCAGAATTAAACACCGTAAGGAGTAATGATTACTGACAGTGACCACTGCTAAAGGCATCATGAATTGGT